TAAAACAATAAAACTATGGCAGTGTTGTTGTTTTTTTACAATGAGCTTAGGATGTACTTGTGCCTCTGGTGTGTGTGTGTATGTGTGTGTGTGTGTGTGTGTGTGTGTGTGTGTACTTTGGGGGGAAAGACAGAGATGGAAGGAGAGAGTGACAGAGACTAAAGAGGAAAAATACATCTTTAAGTATTTGAGGGTTTTTTAACTTTGCCTTCTTTATTTTCCACGTGTACTATACACCACACTCAATTCCGTCAAGAAGTACATAGGAAAGCAGCTACACAGGTCATGCATCGTGTGCTGGGGGTGTGACTGCTGAGAAAACTGGGTGTTTTTCGTAGACATCACTAACCATCCCGGTATGTTTCCTCCTTCCCGGGCATGAAGGAGACCACACGACCCCGCCGTCAGATTGGGCAGGGTCACATGTTCCTGGCCGGTATAGAGTGAGAGGAAAGGCCGGGCAAGGTGAGAGAGCAAAAGCCCCAGGCACCTGACTGCCCTCTCCCCACCGGGTTCCTAGGAGGCCGTGGCTGGGAGGCCCGTGGCTGGGAGGCCCGTGGCTAGGAGGCCATGGCTAGGAGGTCCGTGGCTGGGAGGCCCGTGGCTAGGAGGCCGTGGCTAGGAGGCCCGTGGCTGGGAGGCCCGTGGCTAGGAGGCCATGGCTAGGAGGTCCGTGGCTGGGAGGCCCGTGGCTAGGAGGCCGTGGCTAGGAGGCCCGTGGCTGGGAGGCCCGTGGCTAGGAGGCCATGGCTAGGAGGTCCGTGGCTGGGAGGCCCGTGGCTAGGAGGCCGTGGCTAGGAGGCCCGTGGCTGGGAGGCCCGTGGCTAGGAGGCCCGTGGCTAGGAGACCGTGGCTGGGAGGCCATGGCTGGGAGGCTTGTGAGGTGGCCTCACTGTGGCTAAATGCATGGACTTCAGGGCCAGGTGGTCAGCATTTGAGGTCAGGCTGTGACTGGGGCCTTGGCATGTCACTCATCCCTCAGAGGCCCCGTCTCCGCAGGTGTGAGATGGAGGTGATGCTACTCGGCTCCCCGGACAGGACGCGTAATTTAGTCCGTGTGGTAGAGTAAGTGCTCACTAAGTCATCACCCTGCCAGGGATCAGGAGGGTGAAGATAACGATTCAGTGTGACTCCCACTGTGACCACAGCACCTTGTCTTCACTCTCTAAATGCCGCCACCCTTGGTGAGTCAGGAAGACAAAACTGATTCTCCATGCCCCCTCCCCTCTTCTCCATGCCTACCCCTACCCCTGTCCCCAGGGCTGTCACAGGAGAAAATGTGATTGGGGGAGGAGACCTGTGGCCTTCCTCCCCCGCACCCCCGCCCCCTCCTCCCTTCCTTCCTCCCTTTCTTAAGGAAAAATCATGGGCAAGGAAGCACAGCTGGGGTGAAACCTGGTCCTGTGGGCCTGGTGCCCGCCTGGCCCTGCCTCCAGACGCCGGCTGAGAAATGAAATCATTTCTCATTTAGAAATTAATGAGGTTTCCCAGAGCCGCCTCCGCCTGGCGCCCGCATGCAGGGTCCCCAGATGCTCCACCAGCTGACTTGATGTACGCATTCAATTAAAAGCCCGGGAACAACAGGTCCCCGCCCCCACCTCCGGAGTTGTAAGAGCCCCTGCTGAAATTTAGTTTAGCATCTTCTATTTTTTTCACGGGCCTTCGCCTTTGTTATTTCTTAATTTTTCCTGCAGTCTCAGAGCAGGAGTGCTGTCCTCTCTGGGTATGTGCCCCGCTCCAGCCACGTCACATTCAGAAACTAACGCCCATGGGCCTCGAGAGGGGCGAGTTCTGCAGCAGAGCCCGGGACACCCCGGCAGACAAGGTCCCTGTCCGCAGGGACAGGAGAGAGACCAGCCAGGAAAGGGAGGCAATCATGGACTTGGACATGTCCAGAGGAAATAGGTATGATGATGGGGGTGGGGGAGAGGAATTGGGGGGGCAGTGAGGGGGA